CTTGAAGGCCTCTACCTTATCCACCTTGAGAAGGGCAAAGAGATGCAGGCATTCATTGAACCCTGTCTCCAGAGAGATCTGACAACTCCTGAGCCAAGGGCTGCCCCATGCCATGAGTGGAGCACATGGAGTCATGCCTGGCAGGGCAGAAATTCCACAACCCCTGGACTGAGCCCCACTGTGCACCAAGGCAGTGAGTGCAGGCTCACATGTTGGTGCAGCAACAGGACTGCAACAGTGGAGGGCCCACTGCCACAGCTGCACCATGCAGAGAAAAGGGTTACCCCAAATGCCCTCAGCAGGGAGGAGCTGTAGAATCCTAGTGCCTGCCAGGCCACAAGACAGGGAGCAGCTGGCAAAGGCTCCACTGGCTGCCAGCCCACAGCTCGGGAACTTCAATCATACCCATGACAGATGCTCACTCAGAACTTATTTCAAGACTTGCTGGAAGGGGGCCTTCCCTCTGCTCATCAGGGGAGGCTGGGGAGGGCTGGAAGAGCTAGGACAATAGCCTCTGTGGCATAGCTGGGCTTTAAGGAGACTAAGTGACACTGAGAGGTACACCCCAGCCCCTACCTGTCTCATCATACACTGGAGCAGCCCCTGCATCAGCTTCACCACGCTCTGCAGGAACAAGGAAAAGAGGTTTGTTACTCCCCAGAAGTCCTGACTCAGGATCAGCTGGCCGCTGACCTTTGTGGGGCTCAGTGTCTGTAATCAGAGCCCCTGCTCCATTTTCACAGCCCCTGGGTGACAGCAGAGGGAAGATTTCTTGGTCCGCCAGCAAGGCCAGGTTGCCAGGCTGTGCAGGACCGAGGGCACGGCTGCAGGACGTGGCTCCCCAGCCCCAGAGAAAAGGTCTGCGGCCCCAGATCACCCCAGAGCCAGAGCTCCAGACCCGCTGGTTGTGCTCCAGCGTGGTTTGAGAAGAGCAGGCTCTGACATCCATTCCCACTGCCTCCCGTGCCGGGGACAGCCGCGTACCGCCCTCCCGGCCCTGCCCCAGCCGGCCGGCGGCTGAGCAGAGCGGGTGACCGCCGCCCGCAGCGACACCAGTGCCGGCCCTGCTCACTCCCACCTGCTCCAGCTCGTAGGCCTTGGCCTTGTCCTCGTCGCGGTCGGCATTCTTGCGGTAGGCGAGGCCGAGGCCCCACACGGCCAGGATGCTGTACACGTTGTCCCGGACCCAGGCGTCCCGGTGGTCGGCGCTGGCGGGGAGCAGCCCGGTCACCGCGTCCTGCGGAGGGACACACCGTGCACACGGTTCACAGCGAGCTGCGCGGCCCAGCGCCGGGGCCCCGGCTCTGCTCCTCATCCCGGGCAGGCTCCGACCTGGTGGCGGAGGATGGTCTGCTGCACCAGGCGCCCGTAGCCGTCCAGACGCACACCAGAGTTGCTCCGGCTCCTCATGACGGCGGCAGCAGGACCGGCACCGGCGGGACTGCACGGGTCCTGTCAGAGCCCCGCCCCGCGGCGCCGCCTGCTCGCTGCCGCCGGCGGCGCTGCCCGAGCGCCGCTACAGCCCCTGAGCGGCCGCCGTGCCCCGGCCGCGCGGCCCCGCGCTCCTCTCTCTGCTCTCCTCTCTCCGCGCTCCTCGCTCCTCTCTCTGCGCTCCTCTCTCCGCGCTCCCCGCCCCGCGCTCCTCTCTCTGCTCTCCTCGCTCCTCTCTCTGCTCTCCTCTCTCCGCGCTCCCCGCCCCGCGCTCCTCTCTCTGCTCTCCTCTCTCCGCGCTCC